GTTATTTTTTTTTTTTTTCGTTATTTGATATATAGTTAAACTTATCCTCTTTAGTTAGTATAAAAAAAAAGGAGAAAATGCAGTAAAAATCAAAAATTCGCAACCTGCTGTTACTTTTTCTAGTGCATATTTTGCATATAAATTACTAAAATTAGAATTACGGTATGCAGATATCACATAAAAAATATTTTTATGGCTTTCCATATCATCAACCTTCAAAATGCACGTTTTTTTTTCCAGTACAATTTTAAAAACTCCTAGCAGCATTAATGTTTATAATTTAAGTTAATGTTATTGTTATTTAGTTAAAATATAAATTAAGGTATGTGCTAAATGCTCACAAAGTAAAGAAAATATGATTTTTCGGTATTTTTACCAAAGTTATATTGCTGTTAAATAAAAAGCAAAAAACGACCCAAAAATTGTAACTTTCATTTCAGTCCATGTTGAAATTTACTTTAAAGTTATTTCTCTTTTTCTTTGTAATAACTGCAAATATCAATTGTTTATCCGTTTACTAAATATCTAATAATCTAAAGCCAATTTGTAGAATTAGCGTTTGCTTAATAGACGTAAAGCGTTAAAAATCTCAATGAAAGTAGGAAATGAAAGGAAAATTCTGTAGATTGTTTTAACCCAGATACGACAATGTTCTGATGTAAGAGAACGACTAAAATTGTTGACGATTGCAAATATTTTTAGTGGGAGAAAAGTAAACAATAGACTATTGATCGTTTTATATACACCTCTAAAAAATAAACACTTAATCATTATCCAATTACACAATTCATACATGTTATAAGAAATTGTTGCGGTTACGATACTTAATGTTAATTAATTATGTTACAAAATGTACAAACATCTACACTAGTGGCGGATCGAAAGCCGAACATATAAGGACCGCATCATCGGTGAACGTTTTGCCTGGCCTGTATATGCAAATATACAAATTTGGTTATTTTTTTTTTTCGTAATTTATATCGTTTCAATGAAGTAACAGTTATAAAGATCTTCGAAGTCTTTTTGTTTATTTTTTTATGTGTTATTCTCCAATTGCTTTTATTGCAAGGATAAACAATCAGAATGGCAGGATTTTCTGTTTTACGATTTTCGAAAAATTCGCTATTTTCGATTACCTACAAAGAAATTTAATTTTCTTTCGGGTCAATTTTGTCTTTGTGTCTTACACAAACTCTTATTGACGAGAATTACTAATTGTTAGTAAAACAAATTTCAACTGTGTAATTTACTTATCATCATTTTAGTGCATTCATTTTATTGATAGGTATCTACTTTTTTGTGTCATATAGAGAGGCTTGTTTAAACGTTTAACCTTTCTAACAAAATATGTATATGTCGACATAATAGCGGCACACCTCCAAAGTTTTGTGCATGAATAATTTACTTGTCTTGTTGAGTTACACAAGAGCCTCAAGATGCGTCTATTACCTACTTTCCATATTATTTTTAACGTTCCCGATCCTTGTGGAACTTGTATCATCATCATCATAAGGTCATCAGTCCTAAGACTGGTTGGACACGTACCTCCACTCATTCCTATCCTGAGCTAAACTTCGCATTTCCCTAAAACTAGAACAGCCCACACCCTTAACTATTTGCGAACAGTAATCTAACCTAGGTCTACCTCTACCCCTCCTAACTCCTGTTTCTGCCTCTAATATGTCTCTGACTAGACCTTCATGCCTAAGAAGGTGTCCTACCAACCTATCTCGCCTATTTTTTATTGACTTCCATAGAGTCCTCTGTTCTCCTATTCTTTCCAATACCTCTTCATTTCTAACCTTTTCTACCCACGATATCCTCATCATCCGCCTATAACACCACATTTCGAACGCTTCTAACCTTTTCTTTTCCGCCGCGCCCACTGTCCATGTTTCGCACCCGTACAACGCCGTGCTCCAAACATACACCTTAAACAACCTTTTTCGAATTTCTAAATTAACCGTTTGCGAGCATAGAAGTCCCTGCGCTATCCTCTGCTTTATATCCCTACTACTCCTTCCATCCTCACTTATCTGACTTCCTAGGTATCTAAAATCAGCCACTTCTTCTAATTTTTCGTTAGAAAAGATGCAATGATTCAATATTCAATATAAAATGTAGTAAACGTGAAAATACTTGAAGATTTGCTATTTAATTAAAGTCTCAACATTCTACGTTCATTCAAAAGGAGTGCGGGTCGACTGGCAATACAGCTCACGCCTGCTTATTCTCATGATAACTTTGCAAGAATTTTGATTATTTTATTATTTGATAATATTATATGCATATGTCGTAAATCTTATCAAATAATGAGAGGGTCATTTGGTAATAAATACTCAATGTAAATTGTTTGAAATAGTTTGATAATTAAAGAAAACAATTAGCGTGTGTTATGTAGGTTGTTACTAAAAGTACAAAATTTCGTTTCGTACAGTGACCGTATCATTTCGATTATGCAGTTATTGCAAAACTATAAATTATTCAGCTTGGAATTAAGTAAAAGGAAGGCGTTTACACCTCGCTAACTGTATTACGTGACTCAGAACAAATCCTTTGTTATTAATTACGATAGAAGAAAAGTTTAAACACCAAAACTAAAATGCAAAAGATAACAAGAAAATTTCGATAGACAGTAATAATCCAATTTGTTATATATGACTTTTATGCGTTTTAACCTTCAGTTAACTGTATTGTTTATAAACCGAATGATGATGAGTTAGTTTTTATAACACGAACTTCATTTGAAATAAAATGTAGAATTTGTTAAAGTAATTCAAACATTTTTACTACACAGTTCACTAAATAAAACACGAAAACGCAAAATTCCACATTAAAAGTTTAAAAAAATAAAAAATCGTATTCAAAAGGTATCATCGTAACACTCATCAGTTTGAAATTTTAAAAAATTTTTATGTGGATTTTCGTACAAAATTTTGCATGACGATTTACTTTTAACATAATGCTTACGTAAAATTTGAACTTTATAAATAATTTAAAAATTTATACACACGAAAGTTGAAGAATAAACCATTAAAGTGAAACATAGCAAAAATTAAATTACTTCTAGCTCATAAACGCTAAAGTAACGTTATTATTTTAAGCATTTATTAAACGTACGTAAGCAAGCAACAAGTGTGGCATTTTAATTGCAGTCTACCTATTGTTAACATAATTAACTAATTATAAGAAAAAACCTAAACAAACGCCGCAGTTACGTACAAATTTACTGTTATTTGTGTTTTAAATAATACTTTTTCTATTCTGAATGAAAATTTATTTGTTTTTTGGGGTACAACTCCAGTTACTAACTTTTTGCTCAATAATTTACGCAATTATTTCGTTCTTTTGTACATTAAAAGTAATCAATTCGAATCAAAATATTTCTATTATTACAAAAGCTAAACGCAAAAAAAAATAAACAAAACGAAGCCTTAATAGTTCTAGAATTTAAAATACCTCCAATGTATATTATCCATTTCTAAATACGAATACTTGTGGTTACAAATTGAATAGAATCTGTGTAAAAGAATTACGTGTTCAAAATCAAAAAAGTTTAAAATTTCTAAACGAACTTAAAAAATGTTTAATCAATTCTAACTATTCAAATGTGTCATGAACCAGTGATAAAAAAATTTTTTTTACTTAACCCTGTCCTGGATGAAAATAAAAAGTTTTCCACTTGTTCAGTAAGTGTCGCAGTATTTGACGCTCTAATAGCTCTGATTATGAGCAATTACTTATTATATTGGCAAATATTAAAAATATTTGTTAGCTAGCTTGTTTCGAACGTTATATATTTTGAAAGAATAGTTAGGACTTGAAAGGACGCACGTAATTTATCGTCGGTTGTGTGTAAAGAGGAAATAACATGAAAACTGCGACTGTTTTGCCCCACAATAAAAATTTTAATTAGTTAGGTATTGGCACTCTTCGTTAGCAGCAATTCTTTGTTTTTATTAAGTTTTTGTTTTCTCGATGTTATTGTTTGCGTTCAAACTGCAGCTTCAAAAGTAGGTTTAGGTTCAATCACCCACCTATAGAAACGGAAAAATTTTCCGGATCGTTCACCTCCAACGGACAATAACAAAAACCAATAATGAATTACAATACCCTTTTTCTTCTATCTTGAAAAGAAAATCTAATGTAGCTTGTTTACTGATTCAACAAAAGCACTTAGTTTCTTTTTTTCCGTGTTCTTTTTCTAAAAATTTCCCCAACCAATTACTGTATGTACCCGTTTATCTAATTTTGACGATCAGGGTTGTTTTGGGTCCAAAATTCGACTTAATTTTTGAGAAAAATCGGGAAAGACTATTTTCGTGAAGTTGTAATAGAAAGACTGTAGGCTGTAGGGATTTTTTTAGACCGAGGATTCAATTTAAAAGGGTTTTGTTTTTGCAAATCGTTTTCATTCACATTTAATAGAAAAAATTGACCATTTGACAACGATCAACACAAAAATGCGTAATCCAACTAAGTCCTCCGTATCGCTAATGCATAGATTAGCCGAGTGAAGCTGATATTTCTTAATTAAGTAACTAATTAGTACCGTACCTAATTAAACGTTGTGTTTTAACAAACTGGTACCAGCATGGGTACGTTAAATATAAACGTGAAATTTTAATTGCACCACGACCTAAATAAGCAATATTTAAACATATGGCATTACGTACCTACACTCCGCGACCAAATTAAACCGTGTCACGAAATTTTAAGAAGAAACTGAAACAACACCAGGAAGTAAAATTTGCATATTACCGACTTACTTATGAGAAATATATGTAATAGCTTTTTACTAAAAGCTACCACCAACTTTAAAGTGAATCCCTTTATTTCTTATGTCTGAATATTATATATATAAAAAAAATTATGAAAACCATAATGGCCGACATCGGTGACAATGCGACAACAATTGAAAAAGAATGATGGCCGACAACTGCAACAATTAAAAAAGAATGATGGCCGACAACTGCAACAATTAAAAAAGAATGATGGCCGACAACTGCAACAATTAGAAAAGAATGATGGCCGACAACTGCAACAATTAGAAAAAAATGATGGCCGACACTACGTCATAGTGGAGCAATAAAAATAGCCGGGGGCAGGGGGAAGAATTAGTAGCTTTTTTGATGCATTTTCTTGCTAAAAAACTTTTTTTTTAAATAAACCATGTTACATATTCGTAGATAAATTCTATAAGCCTCGTCATTGAATCGAAATTGAATTCCATTTTACAATATTGTCTGTCTGGTTATCTGTACGGGCTAATCTTCTGAACTGATTTCGATTGAATTTTGCAAATCTAAAGGGACGATTATCAAAAGCGATCTAAGGTACTTCTTGTCTAATACGAGGGTGGATTGATCTGTTACTTTTTCTAGTGCATATTTTGCATATAAATTACTAAAATTAGAATTACGGTATGCAGATATCACATAAAAAATATTTTTATGGCTTTCCATATCATCAACCTTCAAAATGCACGTTTTTTTTTCCAGTACAATTTTAAAAACTCCTAGCAGCATTAATTTTTATAATTTAAGTTAATGTTATTGTTATTTAGTTAAAATATAAATTAAGGTATGTGCTAAATGCTCACAAAGTAAAGAAGATATGATTTTTCGGTATTTTTACCAAAGTTATATTGCTGTTAAATAAAAAGCAAAAAACGACCCAAAAATTCTAACTTTCATTTCAGTCCATGTTGAAATTTACTTTAAAGTTATTTCTCTTTTTCTTTATAATAACTGCAAATATCAATTGTTTATCCGTTTACTAAATATCTAATAATCTAAAGCCAATTTGTAGAATTAGCGTTTGCTTAATAGACGTAAAGCGTTAAAAATCTCAATGAAAGTNACGATTTTCCTGCTTTTCCATTTTTACGAAAACCACAGAGGCGTCTTGTTCAGCGTGCTGTCAAACCTACACTAGCAAGGAGATCGGGCTGAAACTATAGCTACAAGCTATCCAAGGATGGTACTATAGAATGTCACCTCAAGGTAGGCCTAGTGGCGTCATCTCTTGGTTAGGCCGGAAACTTATCAATCCACCCTCGTATTTCTATTGTGTATAACAATAATAAGAAATAGTTTTTCGTGGTTAATTGCCACTTGCAATTAGATTTTATTATCTCGTATTCGAAGAATAATAATAATATTTTTATTGGAATTCTTAAAAGCAGTCAAGTAAAGATAACGATTGTTTAATTACAATTGGATGCCTACATGTGTATATTATTATGTATATGCGACCAAAATTTAAAGTGAAATGTTTTATCGAAGGTCACCGATTGTAATTGTATTGTTTTTATTGCACACAAGGCTGAACGCCAACAGGTGTTACATTCAAGAAAGTTAATACATATAATAATATGTAATTCTTTCGTAAATTTATCAATTATCAGTTACCTTGCAAGGGCAAAAGTAAATTCCACCAGAAGAACATAACATTTTCGTCAGTATCAGTTTTAAAATAATGTCAACAGTTTAAGCAAAAAATTATGCGAAATTGTTGTCAAATAATAATAACAAAACAGTTGTAGAATGTAATAATAAAATATAGGATTATTTTTCAGTCGGGTAGCTACGTACTGAAACGTTTGAGAATTTGTTGACGAAAAAGACATCGTAACTGATGTTACATTTGTTTATTTTTATGATTGTACCCGTTTATCTAATTTTGACGATCAGGGTTGTTTTGGGTCCAAAATTCGACTTAATTTTTGAGAAAAATCGGGAAAGACTATTTTCGTGAAGTTGNGTTGTCAAATAATAATAACAAAACAGTTGTAGAATGTAATAATAAAATATAGGATTATTTTTCAGTCGGGTAGCTACGTACTGAAACGTTTGAGAATTTGTTGACGAAAAAGACATCGTAACTGATGTTACATTTGTTTATTTTTATGATTTTCAGTTGTTTTACTAACTTCTAATGATCGTAATTGATTATACTTTCTTTCTTTTTATTTAAACTGTAATGAAAACTTTAGTCTTAATGTGTATAAAAATGAACGATTTCAACGATTTTTCGTTTACAAATTTAGCGATTAGTACAAAACTAATGTTAAAAAAGATTATTAAAACAAACCGAATATAAAAAAGTGTATTTGAAAAATATTTCATAGGTAATAACAGCAAGTTTTTGTGTTGATTATTCAATGAAATTTACGGATTTGGCATAAGAGAAAAGGAAAAAAAAATGTTTAGGGTTACGCGCTTGACGCATCGTTGAACTCACCTGAGAAAACCTGCAACCACCCGCATATGTGATATACGGTGGTGGAATGACAAAATAAAAACAAAACCATCATACATATCGTTAAGAGGGCAGTCAGGACGGCAATCCCAACACAGGCACTCGCCCCCACAAATGCAATATTCGATAGTTCGTAAAAACTGTAAAATTTCCCCTTGCACATTTCTCCCTGTTCTTCCGCGCGGCAAACCGACCACAATCCAATTTTTCCGGCATTTTCACCCTCAACAACCCCTATCCATTCGGGAGTTATGAATGATACTACTACTATAATACCGTAACATATCGTAAAAATAGCCCACAAAACACCGATTGCCTTCGAGTTCCTCGCATAACTGGTCGCGTAGATTTGAGTTGAATCAACATATTCGATTTTTGAGCCCATTTTTTACCCTTAAAATTTAAAATTAAATCCACTTTTGTAAATAACTATCACGGTCACATTTCTGAGAAGTTCACATTGTCAACGATAACATTTTAAAACTTATTTACTCATGTAACACAATGCATATACTTCGATCGATTATGTGCTACTGCTCTACCTATGTACTCTACCCATTGGTGAACGGCACACCTTGAAGTAAATGTCACGGAACCGGAATTAAGGTAGAAGGGGCATTTATAATTCTTAAGATACAGGTAAGAATGAAATGTTCACAAAACACCCAGCGTTTTCTAAATGAATATATGAATTAGGCAATCAGCGTGCTTCGATGCCGTACTGGTTGCATAAAGTATTGACCGTCTTGTCATGTATCTATGGTTCCATGCATGGATGTTTCTATTTGTAATTTGTTGGTTATGTCTTGTGCTAGACGTGTCGCTTCAAAAATAAAAATATGTTAAACATTAATTAGAAATTAAATGCTTTTTTAATTACAGCAATTAATAATAACGGTATTGCAGCGAATATTTTAGTGTACGAGTGCTTTGAGTTATGTTAGTGTTTTTGTGTAAGCATAGAAGGAACATCTTTTACAATATGAAGAGTATTCAAAAGTGAAATCTAAAATATTTTATAACAATGGCTTCACGACGTGTTAGAATTAAAGGTATTGCTAATATTCCTCAAAGAAAGAAAGCAGACGAAAAACCGCTTAGTACACCTGAACAAATCGATATTGTCAAAGAGGAGGCAGTTTTAAAAAAAGATAATTCTGATGGTACAGTACATTTCAGTGATTCTGAAGAAAATTCAAAAATAGTCACTAGTGACTTAGATATTATCGAAGAGGAAAAATGCAAGGATAGACACGATTCCTTAGAGAAGAAAGCATTGCTAGAGGAGAAGAAACCAATAATAAAGGAAGTTATAAAACCAGGTACATTTATTAGACGCACTATTGCTAAGCCTATTATAAAACCCAACAATATTTCAAGAAGGCAACAATACAAAGTGATAGACAAAACTGAAGAGATTAAGAATAATCATGTGGGTGAAACTAAATTGGAGATAATTGCTTCTCATTCTGAACAAAACAATGCTAAAGAACATTCTGACAGTACCCAAAATAAAGCCAATTTAATTCCTAAAAGTGATGAAAATTCAAATAAAAGCAGCTCAGAAAATTTTTTAAAGCCTGCAAGTGATATTAATTTAATTTCAAGTAAAGCAAAAATACATAATAGAAAAGATGAATCAGATTCTGACTTAGAAACAGATGTAGGAGCAATAAAGGATGTAATAGTAGACAAGAATTTAAAGTATGGAAATAGTAGTAATGAATACATTCTTCCTGACAATATTGCAGGTACTCTTATGAAATGTTACTTAATAGAAAGGCAAAGCTTATCTAAAGTCTGTTATGGAATGATTAATTAAAATTTAAATTGTAGGTTTTAAACGCATGCGAAATAGCCTTTCAGAAAGTGCAAAGTCAGGTTCAGATGTTGAGTATCCACTACCACCTGCCAGTCCTAATAAAATTTTAAGCAGGAGTAGAATAAAAGCAGTGCCTTGTTTGACTGGTAGAAGAATAAGTTTTTCAGTCTATGGCAGTGCTAGTGAATCAGAAGATGAAGGCAAAAATAACTCTAAAAGAATAAGAAACGATTCTGTATGTAATTAAGTTCATAGTTGCAATATAATAATTCTTGTTTTGTAAAAGGTTTCATCAGTTATGTCATACACTGGTGAGGTTCAGACAAAGGGGGAACAACCACCCAGTTCTCCTAAAAAACCTAATGAAGTTACCACCACGCCAGTCCAGAAGAAGGGCAGAAGATCAGATCAGTATCGAAAATTTGCAGAAGCAAGGAGAGAGTTTAATATGAAATTTGGTAAAGGCAAACCTGATAGACAAAAATTGACTATGTTGGACTTAATTTTTTACAACCCTGCTACAAATCCAATGAGGTAAAGAAAAAGTGATGGGAATAAGACTACCACTTTATTAATTTCTAAAAATGAATCTTAATTATTGTTTCACCAAACACTGACTTCTTTAGAAGTTATTCCTCAGACAGAAATTATGATTTTAATTTTGTTAGAGGGGATGCGAGTCAGAATTTTGAAATTTGGGTTTAAATTTCATGTACAATTTTTGAAGTCCCACCAAGGTGAAACAATTGTTATTGAATATGTAAATATTAACCATGTGCTTGCATTATTTATAAATATAAATTTTATTGCATTTCATTACTACTGACTAACGTTTATACTTTGATTAGTCAGAAGAAAGAAAAAAAGAATGATACTACTGAAGAAACAGTTACACAAGAAGATATTTCAGCTGAAAATTCAGTGAATACCAATTCTGAAAAAATAGAAGATCCGGTAGAAAATGAGCTCAATAAAGAGGTAAAGAGTGATGATGAAGATGACGTTTTAGCTCCACAAATAAAAGTGGGGCCTAACGGGGAAATCATCGTGGATGAAAAGAGCCTTGTTGTTGAAAACAAAGAAACAAGAATAAATAGAGAAACACTTCAAAATTCTGCAGTAATTGATGGAGATTTTGACACAGGTTTTAATGGCTACAAGAAAAACGCAAGAGCTAAATTTTGGTCAAAATCGGAAACGTTGCGTTTTTACAAAGCTCTAAACACAATAGGGACGGATTTTTCTTTAATGGCTGAACTTTTCCCCGGTCGAACTCGTAAAGGATTGAAAATGAAATTTAACAAAGAAGAACGAACTAATCCAAGTTTGATTGATCGTGCGCTAACGTGTCCAATAGAATTTGACATGACCAGTCTTCGTTTGGATTTGTTACGTGAACAGAAAGAAAAAGAAGAAATGATGAAAAGACAAGAGGCTTTAGAAGTTCAATCAAAAGAAAAAAGGCGGTATACAAGGAAAAAAGGAGGTAAGCTTCGAAAAAAAAATAATAATCATGATTTTTTTTGTAAATCGCCGTGTTATGTTTCTAGGTAGTGTGGCAAAGAATTTGGACAGCGATTCTTTAAAACCTGCCGCAAAATTAACAAAACTTTGTGCTAAGAAAAAGGATCCTTACACATGCGTTAAAAAGGGAATTGCAAGCGTTTGGGAAACAGATTCTGAAGATGAAAAGACGAAAATGCCAGAGAGCGACAGTAGTCCTGAATATTCCGATTCTGAGAGAAGTTTTACAATTGAAGATGAGAACAATTTCAAACAGATCTTAATACCGACCCGATCGGGACGTATACCAAGACCTGCCCTACGTTTGTCGTATCCCGAATCTTATGGCAAAACTATAGTTCGCAAGGTTCCAGACTGTCCTATGGATCAAAGAAATTTTGATTTCTCTCAATTTGAACCGGGTTCCTTATTAGTTTTGACTAGTAACGATCCGACAGGATTACCGGTGTATAAAGTATTCATGGTGGTTAATCAAGACGCGCATCCTGTGGATTTGAGCGAAGAAGTGCTGCAATCTATAGCGAATGAAGCTCAGCATTCTGAAAGTTCAACGCTGGATGAGAATGTTCCCAAGGTCTCAGAAGAAACTGACCACCTCGAAACCGAAAAATCTGTATCTTTAAATGCGCACTTCAATCAACAAGCAGAAGAAATGGAAGTTTCACTGTCCCTCAAAGACTCAGATTGTACTAATTTGACTGCAAATATTAGTAGCACAGTATACCAAGAGCATAAATTTGTGCTGCCAGTGAACATGTCAGAATTGCATGATACTAATTTGACGATTTCACACACTGAAGAAATTAATTTGAAGAAAACAGCGGCACCAGAATATGTCCGCGAAGAAATAATTGGAAACATATGCGATTCTGTCCAAAAGGATGAAACTGCACGCAGTAAGGAGAAAGGTAAAATTCTAATAAAAGAAAACATTCTTATTTCTGCACCGTACATGCAAATTCAGCCTGTGAATAAGGCAGAAGAAAGCTAAAGCAACCTAACTTGTAATTCTGCAGATGAAAATGTAAATAAACTATTTTATTTATTGATTATTTTAAGTTTTGCATTGCCTTTTTTTCATATATTGTGAATGTTATGTATATAAATATGTCTTTAGTAATAATATAACTAGTACATGGTATTTTTGCATTTTATTACTTGTTATTTGATCTTGAAGTAACAATTTAATTTTTGATCTTAGCCTATCTTTTGACCATTTCCTTTTTCAAACATGTCTTTACCCTATTTAAAACTGTAGATCTTTCAAGAAAGATTTAATTACGACAAATTGTTAAAGAAAAATTAACCAAAAATTTGTGGATAAGCTAAAGATAGTTCTTTGAGCGAAAAATAAAATAATTTTAACTCGGCTCTTCTTCAGTACAAAACAATTTTAACATATTTACTTATCAGTTCATCTAGTATTTAGTTCTTGAAAAAATCAAAAATGAATACCTATTAACTATAAAATAAAATTCTTATTGTTTTAGTACTCATTATTCGCCTACGGAGTTTTCTCCCAGTGTTTCGGGTTGTTGAGTATGGATTATAGAAGTGGACACTGCAATGTTATTTCAGAATTGCTTTTTCCAATTCATCGACACAACATTGGAAGGGTAGGATTCATTTCTTTGCCTTTTCCTTTAAATTTCAAATAAAAGGAGCTGAAGTTCCAAAATGTATTACAGTTGTAGAGCATCAGGGAAAAGAATTTTATACGACGAGAATACTTTGAAGCAGAATGGGTTGCCTATGTGAAAGACAAAAAATCCTATGTATAAATTCAAATTATTATACTGCTATCGCGCGAAATTAAATGAGTGCACTGTAAAAGATAGAAATGCTACAATTTGAGTCGAAATTAGTAACCAACTAAGTTTTTCGATCTTAATAAAATAATATATTTAAATTTATTTGGTACATCAGCAAAAAAAAATATTTCATAACACAACACTTAAGTGAATGTTTTTCACTTTGTTTTGTGTATTTGTTTAATGTTGATATTTTCGTTGTGTATTGTGCATTACAACTTTTTATACGATTTATGATAAAGATTTTTTTATTTAAAAATGTGGACAAAAGAATTTCTTAAGTAGCTTTCCGTTATCAAGCAAAATGAGAGTATAAAGGCGTAATAAAGTCATAGTAGTAAAGAAAGTGATTATTAATCAAAAATATTTGTTAGTTGCAATATGAGGATAAATAAAGAAATAGCTTTATTAAAAATTCATACTTTATTTTTATAAGACTGTTCTTGTATAAATTCAATTAAGGGTCCATTCAACTATTAATTATACATACACATAATTAACTGTAAGATTATTGGAAATTATAAAGTAGGTATATGAAGGTGAGCCACTTAACAAACTTCTAATATATCACATGGTAACCACTTTGAACTTTCCAATGCATCCCATAAATTGCAATCCTGCTCCATTTTTTCTCGGTTCAATTTATCTACATCAACTGGAGTTGAATGTTCTAAGAGGAAGGTATATATGTAATTTGATTGATTAACTATTTGTTACTTATTATGTCATACCAATAAGTTCAAGCTCATCCTCTTCTGCTGCTCTTCTTTCATTATAATGTTGAACAACTGCTTCAGAAGTGTGATAATCTGGTGTAGCTTGTGTACTATCTGTACCTTGGTCATAGTAGCTCTAGAGCAAAATTAGTAAATTTAACATTTTTTCATAATATTTGTTTGTCACTTACTGTTTGCCATGTGGCATAGTTTTGCCAGTAAGTAGAGGGATCATAGTACTGAGTGTAATCAGAGGTTGCAGATGAATAAGTACTTGTAGAACTACTTCCAGTAGTTGTTGTAGTAGTAGTTGCGGCACCTTTTGGTTTAGGCACTGCATTACATATTTTTAACGATTTTGTCCCCAAACCAATGTAGCCGTTCATATTTATTAATGCATCTTTCATTTCATCCTCACTTCCAAACCTTACAAAGCCATACCCCTTACTAAATCCACTATTATCCAATATAACTGTCATATGAGAAAGTATTAATTATATATTTTATTTTGTGAAAACAAAAAAATACAAAATATGCTAGATTCTTACCTTTCGCTGTTTTAATAGTATTATACTTTGAAGAGAAAACTCGATACAAATTGTAATCATCAACATCAGGACTTAAGTCTCCAACCCAAACAGAAAATTCTCTGTCTAGAATATTTCTCCCTGCATTACTAGCATTATTTAATCTGAACCTAACAACAGGATTAGTTCCTGGTATTATTTTACCATTTAATTTATGCATGGCATCTATAGCTTCTTCATCATTAGCAAAATGTACAAAACAATAACCAGCAGGTTCGCCAGTAAATTTATTTCTCATTACTTTTACATTCAGAGGGTTCTCCCCCATTTTTCGAAACGCTGATATGATAAATGTTTCGGTCATATAGGGCTCCAACTGCAACATAGTAAATAAATAATTGTTGCCCCGACATTACGAAACTTAAATGTATTTTCTCCATTTTTAACACTTACACTGCCCATCCACAATTGACAATGCACCATATTTGCCATTTTAAATAATTTTTAATTTACTTTGACCTTTTTCTTAAATAGCTCACTTACAACAAATTGATTGCAAAATGTGAGGTTAGATTATTGGTTTTGTTGACATTCTTCGGTTGTGCTTCAGCTACAACAACGGACTTTTATTAAAAGAAACAAAGAAATCGAAATCAATAATACTTTTATGTTCAAAAATTAAACTTGTTGAAATAAATTATTTAGTTCTATAAACAGGTTATTTTAAAAGGACTGTAATGTGCCTTATTTTCTAACTAACTAATGCAATTTATTGACTTTTCCAAATTTGGGTGTTTCGACACTACCGTACTTTGTTCAAAATGATTCAAACCAAACTTGTGTGTGGTTCAAACGTTTAAAATAAATGTTTTTAAGAATAGAGTAATTATCATTTGAAAAATGTTTAATGTAACGATTTATTTTACAGGACATTATGAAAATTGTGAATGCTGATTGTGCTATGGGTTATGGATTATTCCTTATATCAGGTCCTTTCATATTCTGGCTGTAGCAGTACTTGAAAGAAGTTTGAAAGTGTCTTTTTTCCAGATGAAACAGAGGCAGTGTATTGCTGTTGCTAAAGGAAGGATACTTATACGACAATAAATCGGTAAGCAACGACGTTCATTAAAATTTAGAAATGTAAAATCTCAGAAACAGCTTCTTAGACATTTGTAACAGGCTTTTTCCAACATCTGTATGTGTTTTTATTCAAATTTTATATATTTAACCCTAGTTAATTTATTTTTCTTGCCCTCTTTTGCAGATTGACTAACAACAAGCAACAATCATAACTTAGGTTGATATTTAAAATGTTTCTAAATTGATTTTTTGGCATAATTGTTAGTTAAATTAATTATTTGTCTACGCTTTCAAAATTAATGTTCGTTTGGGTGGATATGGAGGCTATAAGGGGAGATGCGGTGGCCACAGAATAATGGTATGACAGTTTATGTAGAGAATATGATGCTTTTTATTGTATTTGCTTTGAAATTTTATTGATGTTATTGCCTCTCTTACAGATATGTTATTCTTAACTTTTGTAAGTCGTTAATATTGTTTATATTAATGTATTGTTATTTGAAATAAATTTGTACTTTGTTATAATAAATGTAAATTGTATTTCTAAATAATAAATGTATTTTCATTGTATTATCATTCTTTGGTATTTAAATAAATAAATAAATAAAGTATGCGTTTTTAATTTTGTTCT